GACCTCTGCGACTCGGCCTCTCGGCGCCCCTTCTCAGAACTCGGTGGCGAGCCCGGGGGGGAGGTAAGAAGGGGCAGGCCTTGTCAGAAGGCTCGGAAGTCCCCCGGCCTTCTGAGGAGATTCCTGAGCTTTCCCCAACTACAGAAAACCTCTCAGCAGGGCGGAGGCCTTCTGAGAAGCCGCCCACTGAGAAGACCTCCTTCTCACCTCCACCCCTCGCTCGCCGCTGAAGAACGCCCAAGACGCAGGGGACATGGACATAAAACAAGTCTTGCCCGCGCGCAGGCCTACGTCGGTCGTGTCCCGTCTACAGGAGGAAGATTCAAACCTGGTCAAAGAAAAGTCTGGGGACGATTGTTTGATTATTTTGTTTGGGCATTTTTAGACTGTGTTTTTGTTTTGTGTCGCCCAGAATCCGCCTGTACAGTCGGCCCGGATTAGTAGGTCGACCCTGCCAGCTCAAGGGTACCCTTGTGCCCCGTGCCTCGCGGCACGTGCCTTCTTACACTCCAGTGGCGATGTGGCCCTCCGAAGGGTCTCGTGTCCTCTCGCGTGTCCTCTCCAATGAAGTCCGCCTGTGCACAGTCAACTCGCACAGTCAGGATGGGCAACCTTCCCAAGGGTACCCTTGCATCCTTGCCTCCTCGGTCCATCCTTCGCCGCTTTCGCTGGCCGCGCCCCGCTCGAAAAGCTTCGAAATGGGCGTCCGAGGCCCTTCCATCCTTTCCGCGCATCCTTACTACACGGGCTGACTGTAGTCGGCGGCGAGCGAGAGGGGGAATTGAAAAGGAGAAGGCCTTATCAGAAGGCGGCGGGACTTCTCAGAAGCCCTCGCGCCTTCTGAGAAGTTTTTTTCTGTCTTCGGGGAAGGCTTATAGAGTACTTCTCAGAAGCCCGGGGGACTTCCGAGCCTTCTGAGAAGGCACGCCCTTTCTCAATTCCCCCCGTGGCTCGCCGCCTATGTAGGGGGGCACGCCCGACCTGAGCGCAGGCCCTCGGCCGCCGCGGGGAGCTGTCCGGCCCCGGGGCCCGCGGGCAGGCGAGGCCCTTCCAGGCCGCGGGCGAGGGCGGCCTCGCCTGCGGCGGCCTGCCGCCCCCGGCGCCCTCCGGCAGGGTGTACCCCACCAGGGGCAGGACCGGCTCGGACGAGCGAAGGGGGGGCACACCCAGGACGGAGGAGGAGGAGGAGGAGGAGGAGGAGGAGGAGGAGGAGGAGGAGGAGGAGGAGGAGGAGGAGGAGGAGGAGCGAGAGAGGAGCGAGAGAGGAGCGAGAGAGGAGCGAGAGAGGAGCGAGAGAGGAGCGAGAGAGGAGCGAGAGAGGTCTGGGGAGCAGCGGCGTCGCTACCCTTAGGTTGTCCGTAAGGGGGGGTGGGCGAGGGGGGCGGCGGCGTGAGAGAAGGCACGGGGGCGTCTTTGGGCGCCCCCCGTGCCGGCGTGGAGGGCCTTGCCCTTCTCAGAAGCTTTCTGCCTTCGTAGGGAGAGGGCATCGCCCTCCCCCCGCCCTCTCCCCGCCCCTCTGTGTCGGGTATAGCCAGTACCCCAGCTAAGGGGATCCGGTTAGTAGTAGGGCCCTGGAGCCCCTGAATTGGCCAGGATCACTAGACCAGGTCTGCCGTAGCGCTGGTGTTTTTCGGGTGACGGCCGTTCCGGCTAGTGGAACGGGGCCTGGGGGGCGCCCCCCAGTACACATCACTAAACCAGGTCCCACTAAGCCCAAGCCCGAGAAGGGGGGGCGGGGCAGGGCTCGTTTCGATTCCTCCGATTCGATTCGATTCCGATCTCTCGGAGGTTGACAGACCTCCTGTGCTGACACGCCGATTCGCGAATTGGCCGCCTTCGGTGAGGTGGAGGCGGAGGCGGAGGAGGAGGAGGAGGAGGAGGAGAAGGAGGAGGAGGAGGAGCAGGAGGAGGCGGAGGAGGAGGAGGAGGAGGAGGAGGCGGAGGAGGAAGAGGAGGCGGAGGGTTGGGAGGACGGGGAGCGGAGGAGGAGGAGGAGGAGGAGGAGGAGGAGGAGGAGGAGGAGGAGGAGGAGGAGGAGGGGAGGGGAGGAGGAGGAGGCGGCGGCGGCGGCGGCGGCGGCGGCGGCGGCGGCGGCGGCGGCGGCGGCGGAGGAATGCGAGTTGGAGGAGGAGCGGGGGGAGGGCTGGAGGGCTTGGCCCGTCTTGGGGCTTTTTGGGGCTCGGGGACTCTCCGGGGGGCGTCGCATCTGACCCGGGACCCCCCGGGATCCCCCCTTGGCCCCCCCTTGAGACTCCAAGGTCGATCTATAGTGCGGGGTCGAACTATAGATCGACCTGGCACTTTCCTTGGGTCGCACTATAGTCCAACCCATGATTTTTGGCCAGGTCGTACTTCTCTTCGCTCGCGCATTGTTAAGGATCCCCTGAGTGAGGGGGCATGCGTCCCCTGAGCGAGGGGTATCGGCTGCATCACATTGCGCGCATGTTACAACATCCCGCAGCTGCGAAGGCTCGAGGGCACATAGCGCTACTCTTGCTTGCGCGCACTGCGCGGGGGGTGGGCAATGGTCAAGGGCAAGACGGAGGTGAAGATACGGGCTTCTTCTGTGACTGAGGAACAGTTGAAGCCGCTCGTGAAACAGCACATTGATCTCATCGAAAAATGCCAACTGCAAGGGGGCATAGATGACTTCATGAAGAACAACATGCCGTTTCTCTTGCCGCTTGCGCAGCTCACCACACGCGTCAAATGGAAGAACCTCCAGGACGTCGTGTTGAAGCAGAAGCCGAACATGCACCAGGAAGAGTGTAGGCGTTTCTGCCAGGAGGTGGCCAACGCTTTCAGCCATGTTTGCAACAAGTTCTACATCGCCAAGACGGGGGGGAAGCTGGAGGCGCACACAAAAATGCTTGGGGTGGCAATGGGGCTGCAGCCTGGCAGGGCAAGCCCAAGCACAGGAGAGAGCAAAAAACGCGCCGACAGCAGCTCCGACATAGAGATGAACCCTCCAAAATCTTCCACGGCCGCCGCGTCGTCCAGCGCAGATGGGGGCAGCAGGCGCAATGTCATCAAGAACGCCTTCGGCATCAGCCCGCCTCCGAAACCGGCAGGGAAGAAACAGAAGGTTGCCACGTGGAGCCCGATGGTGGTGTTCTCGTCGCAGGAGGACGTCGAGCTCGCTGACCCGCCCGCCGCGGCCCCGAAGGAGGATCGGAGGGGGCGGGCAGGGTGGGAGGGGGAGGGGGGCAGTTTTGATTTTTCACGGCGTAACCGAACCCCTTCGGGAGGGGAGCTCGGGAGGGGCAAGTGAGAGACCCGCCCCAGGATCCCCTGGCCACGTATTTCGATTTCAACTCCGAGCCGATGTGCATGGTGATGAAGTTCGCAGACAGGGAGGAGCGGGGAACACTGACGAAAGGAGGCGATGGTTTCTTGGATGCCGTGTTTCCCGACGGCAGGACGGAGAAGACGGAGCAGCCCAACGCCCTCCTGGCAGCAAGAGCGGCAGCCGCGCAGGCGAAGGCGAAAGCGTGCAAAAAAGGGAAGCCAGCAGGACATGTAGTGGCAAAGAAGCCTGCAATGAGAAAGCCCAGTGCAGCCGCCGCGAACACGGAGACGGACCAGGACGATGAGGGGGAGGAGGAAGAGCAGCTGGAACCCGATGAGCCCGTGGATGCTGCAGACGAGCCCTCGGTCGGCGCTGGGCCCCCCGCTGGCCACGCCGACCGCGGGTGCAGCGCGATGTACTACAAGAGGGGCCACTCTATCGGGTTGAAGCGGACGCACGGCGAGAAGAACCAGTGTGTGAGTTTCGGCGGGAAAAAGTACAAGGACGCCTTGGACGAGGCCACGCTCAGGGAGATCGGCGCAGAGCTGAAGAAGGCCTTGGTCGACGGCACCGTGGCTGACACCAAGGAAGCTGCTAAGGCGGAGGCTGAGCGCTTAGTGGCACAGCGCTTGGGCGACTAATCGCATCCATCCTCATCATCGCATCCATCATCATCATCATCCTTACCGTCTTCATCGCCATTGCCATCGCCATACCCGTTGGCAGAGCGCCCTCTCCAGTGCTAGACGACACCCCCTCATCGCAGGGGCGCCCCTCCGCGAGGGGGCCGCGCGATGGATTGGCGAGTGATGGAACCCCTTAAGAGGGGAACCCCTTAAGAGGGGCTTCAGCACACTCGCGATAAGACAGGGCAACGGCCCCCTCCGAGAGGGGGCCCCTCGGGGAGGGGATCAAAGGTGCGGCAGTCTGCTTACTCATTATGTGTATGGCATTGCGTTTCCTCCTCGTTCCATCCCTCTCCCATTTGCTTTCATGTTCTTCATCCGCGACCGTTCGACAGAGCTGGCGCCCAGCGCGCTTGGGGGCCAGCCCCCCGCCCCGAGCTCGCGGCCATGCGGGCGCTCATCATGTGCCTCTCGGCGCTCCAGGCCGCGCGGAAGCAGAATGCAAGGGGGGAGTTGGGGCAGGATGAGGAGAAAACTAAGAGTGACGGCCGCTTGTTTGGCCATCTGGGCGATAAAAAATCAATCCAGCAGCCGAGTTTTAGACGCACCTTTTTTAGCAAAAAAGGGGGGGTCTAAAATTGGACGAATTCCTATGACATTCCATTACATTCACCCCCCCGAAGGGCCTCCCACGAGGCCCCCAGATTTTAGCCTTTTGAGTCTGACTAAAAACTTTCGGCCGCAACCGTTCTGGACCCCAGGCTTCCGGCGTGATGATGTCGGGCGGCTGCGGCGGCGGGCTGCCTCCAGAAGGCGGTGGCGGCGGCAAGCGGCCTCGCGAGGAGCTGGGGGTACAAGTGGTTAAGGCGCCCCTTCCTGAGGGGATCCGTTTACAGAGACCCCTGCCAGAGGGGATTTATCGATAGAACCTCCCCTTCCTGAGGGGATTCATTCACAGAGACCCGTGACCCTTCCTGAAGGGATTGATTTACAGAGACACCCTGCAGGACGGGCACGCGCCTGTCTTTGAGGTCGACGACGACGACAGCGAGGCGGAGGAGGAATTCATGCTGGACTTCCAGGACCACAGGAAGCGGTACACCCGCTCGTCCCACCGCTTGTGGCTTCGCAAGATGAGCTGCAAGAAGTGCTGGCAGTGCGGCAAACACACCTTCTTCTCGGTGTGCGTTGGCAAGACGTGCCAGGAACACCACGCGACGCAGTGGTTCCACGAGCACGGCGACCGCGACCGCAACGGGAGGAGGTGGAGGGGCGGCAAGAGCGAGGTCGCCAGAGCCAGGCAACGCAAGGGCGCAAGTGGTGGGGAGGGGGGGACCTCAAACATTGAGGAATGAAGTTATGTCGGTTTGATGTTTTGATTTGCTCAATGTTTATCCTGGTCAGTTTTCTGCGCCTGCCAGGCACTGGCAGCGGAGGTGCGATACCAGGGAGGCGGTCTTGGTCGGCCTGCTGCAGGACCGCACCCCCCCCCTCTGCCCCGCGCTGCCAAGAAGGGAGGGCCCCTGTTTGAGGGGATAAACGAGGGGGGACCGAATAAACGCAAGGAGAGGCCCCTCTCATGGGGGTGAGCTTACTTCGTTCCCCGACAGGAGCAGCAGAACGAAACAGCAGCGCAGCCGCCGCCCCCGCAGGGGGGGCCAACGCCACCGATCGGCCCGCCACCCGCAGCACTGTTAGCAGCAGCAGCGGCTGGACCCCCCGCAGCAGCAGCATCAGCAGCAGCAGCACCGCCCGCAGCAGCAGCAGCAGCGGCAGCACCTGCCGAAGCAATGCAGGTTGACGGATCCGACGACGGAGCCCGAGAGGGGGAGGAAGAAGAGGAGGATGAGGGCGAGGAGGAAGAGGGCATGGAGGAGGAAGCGGAGTCAGAGGAGCCTGATGAGCTGATGAGGCTAGAGGAAGAGCACGCAAGGCAGCATCGGAGGCTCTTGCGGGCATTGAATCGCACGGAGGCGGCGCAGAGGCGCGTCGAAAGGCACAAAGAGCGCCTTCGGCAGGAGCAGGAGCGCAGGGCAGAGCAGGAGATCATCCGCCTGAGGCGGGCGCAACAACAGCAGAGGGACGCCGCGCTGAGGCGGGAGGCAGAGGCCCGCCTGGAGCTGCAGAGGGCAGCAGAGGCCGCCGAAGCGCAGGCGAGGACGAGGCTGCTGGCTGCCGAAGCGGCCGCACGGAGGGCGGAAGAGGCGGCCAAGGCCGCC